TTTACTTTTCCAGACTATCATTTACTTCATCTTTTTGTGGTGTTGGCACAGAGGTGAAAGTCCTGAGAGTAAATTTTGAGATGTGCCCGGCCAATCTGGTCCTTTCAGCCAGTGATTTCAACTTTYCACTGTAGTCCTGGGGATTTTCTTTTAAGAGAGAAAAAAACTGTACTTTTCTCTGAAGAGAAACATCGAATTTTAAAAATTATCTAAACTACTCTTGTTTCCTACTTGCGAATAAATTAAAGACTTAGGAAAGAAATCAGAATATATATAAATATTAAAGAGAAAGACTTAATCTTCTGCATTTGATTCAGGTCATATTTTTATTTTTTATTTTYTAGCTGTAGTGGTTGCATCTAAACAAGGAATGAAGCTCTGTTGGAGCCTGATCAGTGTCAGACACCAGGTTAGAAATAACCAGAGATAACGGCTTCAGCCCTAAAGCAGGATATGGCAGATCCTTTTATAAATATCTACAGTATCTATTCTATTTTAGGATCCATAATAAATGCTGAAAATAACATTCAGTGCTAACGAGCTACCAGGGCAGCCTGGGTAAGGCTCACACCCTTTATTGCAAGTTAGTTCTTGTTACTAACTGCTCTAATGAAGTGTTAGACACAGTTTGTGGCTTCAGTGCTAATTCCAAGCGTGCCRTCATTTCTAATAAAGTAGGTTTTGCAGCCAAGTGTGGTTAACCCAACTGCATTTCCACTTTGCTGCATGATTATTGCATTTCTTTGCACAGCTGTCTGCTCGGGAGCTGGAGAAAAATGAGTTCCTTCCATGCATTCTTAGTCTTATTCTTTAGAGTAAAAAAGAATTTTGATGTTGTTTATTTATCTAGATGCACTTGCTGGCGTGCTGCTGTAAATGTGGATGACAAGCCTTTCTATTAAACCAGTAGTTCATGCACATTTCTTGAAAATCACAAAATAACTGTCAAAATCAGTRAAAACACAAAACAAAGCACAAACCACATTTGTCAGCAGCAGCCTAAATAAACTCAGTTTTAATGAAGAGAACATCAAAGAGAGTCAGAGACAAAARATTATTTCAAGCAACTGGTTTTTATGCATTTCTCCTTAGTTTAATATARCAAAGTTAATTTTTTTAACCAATTTTAGTCTTAAAACTGCAGTAGTTTGCTAAAATGTGAAGTAAACTGCTGGTCATGTACAATTCATGTTACCAATTTATCAACAAACAAGAGCATCTCATGCTGTGGGCTCATAAACTAAAGAAAACCAGGTAAATCTGTGGATTAATTAATCAGGATGTRGGTAAAAYCACTTTGTCAAACCCTAACATTTCRTGGTAGAGTGCCCTGGGCATGAGAAGATGGGTTTGTTCCTCCAAGATGAGAAAATTTCCCTGTTACAGTGCCAAGGATTGGTCCAGGAAAACAAGAAAAATCAGCACCACGGGTTCTGATCCACATCCTCCCACCTTTCCTCAAAGCAGGAGGTACATTTAATTTAATTTAGGACAAATTTTAACATAGTTTGGTCACACAAATTGCACAGATCTCATACCTGTTCATACCTCCAAAATTAATGCCATAAATAACTCCTGGGTGATGCAATGTTGCTGCTCTTCCCAAAGGGTTTTACAAGACCTGGAAAAGCAACTCTATTACCAGAATAACTGTTTTTATTAATAGTTTTTAACCCAGTAAAATTATTTCCCTCACTGGGCACCCACCATGCAGAAACCACATTTCTTCTGCTGTTTTTATTAAACTTTAT